AGAGGACTGAGATGGTCCTGCTCATAAGAGCTTACAATCTAATAGGGTGGGGCAAGTGGTACAAAGGGTTATAACTGTGAGGGATGAACTGATGGAAGTGATAAATGTCTAGTTCGAGGTGAGATACGCTTCCCTGAAGAAATAGTTTTAGAAATAGCCAGACAGATTGAGGTAGAGAGTTCCAAAGGATGGGAGAAGCTCTGGTGAAGTCCTGGACATGAGCATGGGAGCTTGAGAGGAAAGGATGGTTTGGGCAATATTTGGAGACCAGATTGATGATGTAGCTTGGGGTAGAGTTGTGAATAGCTTTGTATGTTGTTATTAGTATTTTGAATTTAATTCACTGGACAATAGCAAGCCAGTGGATGGATTGGCAGAGAGGAGTGGCAGACACTGAGCAGTTGGTAAGGTAGAAGATTCTGGCAGCAGCATTCATATTACACTGAAGCGGGGATAGCCTATGGAGAGGTAGGCCTATGAGAAGGGAGTTGCAATAGTCAAGGCGAAAGATAACAAGGAAGTGAATGAGTAGCTTGGTGATTTCATTAGTTTAAAAAGGGTCAAAATTTAGAGATGTTACGGAAGTGAAGTCTACAAGTTTTTGACAGCGATTGGATTTGAGCCCGAAAGGATAGGTCAGGGTCTAGGATTACACCTAGTGCCATGGCTTGAGGGGAGGGACTGATAGTTGCATTATTGATCTTAATGGAAAGTCATTCAGGAGGACACGAGTGGGGGGGAATATTATCAGCTCAGTTTTAGAGAGATTTAGTTTAAGGAAGTGGTTCAACATCCATGCTGAACACAAGTTTTAAAACAACTTAATAAATCTGACAGACAATACTAATCTGTATGTCTACCCCATCGGAAAACATAGATTCAAATTAATTATTAAATTGCTAAAAATCAATTAAAGAATGAAACCATTTCATCTTATTGTGTGTTCTGTACTTTTTCTCTGTACTTTTTCCTCTTTATGGCACCTTCCCATATACTATTTGAAATGATATGCTGATTAACTCTCTGTGTGACTGGCCTTTATACTTACTGCAATAATTGCTATAATTATTTCTGATTTCAAACTTTTTCCACTTTCTACTTACTATCTTTTCGAAATTTGCATATTTCTTCTCCTCTTTGTGTTATTAACTTCCTTCTCCACTATAAATCTATATATCCTACTATTACCATATCAATCATTTCCTTCCTTATAAAGCATCAAAGATCCACCTTCCGTTCTATGTCAGTCACATCTTCTGTATAATTATAACTTAAAGGAACTACTCCCTAAACAATCTTTCTGATCTCACATCTATTTATTTTTTTTTATAATTTATTTCAATTTAGTTCCTTTTTCTAACTAAAAATTCCCTATTTCAAAACCCTATTTGTTTTGCACCATTTCATGGCTTCTTTAGGGTATCAAAGTGCTACAAAAGTGCCCACTGTTAGCACCCAAAAGTTATGGTCATGTTTCTAATACTATGTTTGTCCAGCCTGGTGGCACCATATGATGACATACATACATTATGCCAGTCACTACACACGCACGCAACATTCATGGCATCACTATGTCACATTTTTATGTTTACAACGTTATTAGTATCCTAAGGTATGCACACAGCCAACCAGGACCTGCCAACAAAGTGTGTCTCCAAATAGAAACTCCTCTCCTCTGGGACAATCGCAATTCTAATTTTCAGCAATATCTTTCATCTAGCTTTTTAGTTTATATCAAAGCTAGTGGTGCACAAATTAATGAAAAAAGAATTTAAATTTGAAAGTATATAAATGTTTTTTTTTATTCAAAAGTGCAACAAATAATAGCCACTAGTAACACTGTGATATGATTCCAAAATAATATAAAATATTATAAGAATATACATGATATTAAACAAAATGAAATAGTTCTCTGAAATCACTGCTGTGAATTCAGTGAGTCCAATAATGCAAGTAAACATTTGAAAGTCCAATACAAATGTCCTTCTTCAACCACATCAGTTGTGCTATCACATGTGCAGACTCCTTCTCCCGATATAAGTAAGACTCACCAGAAGTTATTGCCTATCGTAGGGAATAGGGATAGGAAATAAAAGCGCAAAGCAGAAATCCACACACTCTCACTTCTTCTCAATGTCTTCAGCTCATCATTCAGCTTAATAGCAGAGATAAATGACCAGAAATCATATAAAAAGAGAAACGCTCCACATAGTGCAGTAAAACCCAAATAAAACCTTTATTCCATTAGAAAATAGCTCAACAAAAAATGTCTTGCAATTAGACACATCAATAACATTTGTATAACCTGATCATTACAGAGATAATGCTACACAAAGGAATGCCATCTAGCTCTCATCACCGCATTCTGCCTCTGGTATGACATCACTTCCAGTTCCGTCCCTTCTGTCAATCTCACTTCCTGTCCACAACAAGTCACAACCCTTTTGAATATATAGTTGCAGCAGTGACGTTACATACACTTTTCATAATTTGTCTTTTTTATTTTTTAATTGTTTATAATCTTCTATTTTTTTTTAAATGTTTTTTTCACTTTATACACATTTGGTCATAACATTTTTGGTGATTTTTTTGTCCAGTAACAGAGTGTGGAATTGCTGAAATTGTCATGTTGTTTTGTTTTTAATTAGTATTAAACCCAAAACCAAAAATTTAATATATTTCAGCTTACCAATCATTAGATGTGCTGGCTGCATCAGTTTTCTTTCTGAATGACCACAGGAGGCACAGCTGACAAAAGGATTGCTAGTTGGGGGGGGGTGCTAAATGCATTAGCAGATTTGAATACAATAACACATTGAAGCCATATATGATCCTTACTTCTACTGCTTACACAAAAGGAGAACAGGAGATATATAAAGCCCTCATTGAAACCATTTGGAGTTTTTTAATCCAGGGTGAAAATTCTGTTTGCTTCTGTATTATAACCAATTCAATACCTTTTTTTAGAGTCCTTTTTTTATCCAAAATGTTTTTATTGAAAAAAGGATGTCAATGTACAAAGCATATTTAGATATCAATCCATGGATACAAAGTAGTGAGAGGTATCATAAGATGTATATATCATGGATAGTACACACGGTGAGTCCTAGGTCTTGTTGCTAGATGTACAAAATGGGAATAGAGCAACATACACAGAAGTATTCAGTAGACTTTCGTACGTCAAGCATGGGAGAGCTTCTCATCAACCAGACTGTACGTTAACATAAATTAACAATCAGGGAACACTTTTTCAGATTGGGTTGGGTTCTAGTGAAGAGTAGAGGACCAAGGAAGATAGGTTTCTTTGCTCTCACGCCTGGAGAGCGGTCGTGAATAATATGGTCCAGAGGAGGGCTCTTGAAAAGCGTGTGCTTAGGGTCAAATTAATCCACTATGGCCAATGTCATCCTCCCATGTGGGAGATTTCCCAGGGGTGGGTTGAGGGCAGAGAGACCATAGGAGGAAAAAAAAAGAGGGGAGAAGAAATGAGGGAGAGTAGGTTGAGGAGCAGGAAAGATGGAGAAGGAGGGGTAAGGTAAGGATTAGGCGGGTAGAAGGAGTAAAGGGGTGGATAGGAGAGAAGGGGGAGACTGGCGGGGATTTTGCAGGATGCCACTGACAGGAATACTCCCTTGTCCAGGGTCTCTATCACAGGTAACAGATCTATTGAACTTCATTTGGGTATGTATGAGGGGTTTAGCATAGTTTTATATGTCTCAGTCATTTGAAAGTGTATCCAACATACCCACGTGGTCATGAATTTTGATAGGGAATCATTTGCAATTTCTAGAGCCCATTTTTACCAACTGAAGGACCCAGAACTATAAGTAATTTATCTTTTCTCCTCTTTTTCCAATGTATGACATGGAATTGCTATATCATTCATGGCTATATATTCCTTCTACTCAGTTGTCCAAATGTTTTGTCCACAAAGAAGAATGAGAAAGAAGATTTCACCAAATATAGCAGACCCAACATAAAAAAAACAATTGGCACCAATGACCCATCCTTTAGGCTTATATATTCCTTTATAGTAGGCATACATTGTCAAGCTATTGTCAAGCTGTGATAGAGTGATAGGTTCCACAGTGATAGGTTCCTCTTGGTGGTTTTGGTAAGCAGTTCTTTGCTTTCTCCTCACCATTATATTTATTCTGAAATAGCCATGCACCACTTTATCTTGAAGGTTACTTCCACTCTGATATATCACACTTAAGTATGTATTTAATATTATTTTCAAATATATATCCTGTATCATAACTGGCCAATATTTATTTAAAATTTAACACATTTTTTGTGGTGATGTCATGAACATAGCGTGCATGTTTGGTGATGTCATGGAAGTAAGGTATAAGCCTGATGATTTAATTGGACACGGCACACTTGCACACTGACATCATCATGAGGATCTATGAAAAGGAATAACTTTACATGAAACCCAGCTAGATAGGTGAGGGATGGTTTGATTCAAAGCTGTTTACAGCTTGTTAATATGTAGTTTACTGTTCATTGTCAGTGTACAGGTGAACTTAAGGGAAAACACATGATGATGTCTATAGCAACCAACCAGATGTTTGTTATGTTTTTAATTTGCATTATTTTATTTACATCTGGGTTTTTTTATTATGCTTTGTTACATTTGATTTATACAAAGCAGTAGTACTTTTTTACTTAAATGATGATTATTTCACTCTGGCTAATCCGCCGGGAGTATATAGGTATGGAATGGACTTGATACCTTGAGACTACAGATCAAACATACAGTATCTGTCTTTCTAGTACTAGATAATGTTTTTTTGTATGGCTGGGCCATGCCTCATCTTAGCTTGTGATTGAAATAAAATGAATAAGAGACAAGCTAGCATGTTTCTTTTTAATACTGATATTAGATAGATTAAACACGTGGTCATAATTTAAAATAATATTTTGCTTCATTATTATACATAATTCTGTCCTCATCCTGCTGCTGTCTTAGATCTGTAATTCATGATGTTTTCTAGTCATCTGTTCAGTTTCCAAGAAGTAATGTTCACTTGATTGGGTACAGCCTTGGAGCTCATGTTTCAGGATTTGCTGGCAGCTATTTGAATGGATCGAACAAGATTGGAAGAATTACAGGTAATTTCTAATTATTTACAACACTGCACAACACAAAGCATGACATTCCCAGACTGATTTCCACTACTTAGAGTCGTTTTTGTTGCTTTGTGTGATAAATAGTACACAGTACATTTCAAATTATTCGCTTTCAGTTTGAAAATAGGTAAAGTAAGCCTGTGCTTTGAGAAAATATCATGTAAATGTCTGCTATAAATGAAATGTTAATTATGAACTAACCCCCACTGGATTGTAATCATCATAACATGTCAGATTGTACCATATAGTCAATATTTAGAAAGTTCCATGATTTTCAGGTAGGGAGATGATACTGTATACACTACCCTCCCCACACATACAACAGTACTCAGCCATTCATTGCCATCCAGGTGAAGGATGTGTCAAAGTTTTTCAGAAAATCAGTATTTGCAGACCACAGACTCCAGAGCTTTCTGGAGGGGTTGGCACATTCTTCTGCCTATTGTTTGGGGGTTATCTTTAATTTAACACTTTTTCTGTAATACATGTACCCTTTAAACATACGTGTGCTGCACCACAATTGCAAAGTCTACATTTTAAAGGATAATTTCACCTTAAAAAGAAAAAAGCTACTAAATGCACATTTGTGCAGCTAAACAATGTGCATTTATTATTTGTTTTGTGTGATCCTTTAATGCATGATCGGGGGTTCAATGTTCAGCCTCTTGCAGACTGTCAGTGTAGCTGTCTGCCCGTACCTCTAATAAGGGAGGCAGTTACTGAATGACAGGAAGCTCAATGGACTACGAGAGCGCTCACCATCACCCTCACAGTCCATTGGGAACTAAGCAATGGCTGACGGTACTTGTAGGCACTTGTAGAACTCTGTGAATGAATGATGGGGCCATATGGGTGATTTAAATAGAGCAGTGAGGGTTTAGAGCCACTGTCAGGTTTCCCCTCACCTCAGAAAGATATCCTCTCACTTCCTGTTGAGTCTACAGGACAAGAGGTGAAGGGAAAATCTCCATAATCTCACATGCCTGATGAAGGGGTCCTGCGAGACTCGTAAATGTTGCCTTGCTGTAACTATGTGAACATTCATTAAAACGTTTGGACCCATATTGGTGATCCTCGGTGAGCTGGTGACATTCTCCCTTGCAATCTCCCTAATGAGACACAGATGGCAAAAAAACTGATTGGAGTTTTAGACCTCCGCTAATTTATGCAAAATTTAAAAAAAAAGTATTTGCTTTAGATATACTTCCAGAACGTTATTTTTTTTATTTATTATTAAGATATGAACCAAACTTAACTACAAAATGCTACTTTTGGCATTACCTGTTCACTTATGAGAACACTGTTTTTCACAGAACACATTTAGTACAGTAAAAGTCATCATCAAAGCTAAATGTATACAAGATACAAGTATACAAGAATAAATACGCCACACAAATATATATGTCAACCAAGTAACTGGCACTTCAAATGTTTTCAGAATAAATAATCTGTCTTTATGATGATGATGATGCCATATTTAGGAACATGGTAAAAAATGAAACTTTAAGGGTAAAAAAGCAACTACTGTTGTGAGTAAGATATATATGTGGCTGCTGTGGTACTGATGTCTATATAGTACTGTATGAGACTATACATATTGGAATTGCACTTGTATAGTCTTCACTGTCAACAGTAAGCCTTCCTTCTACTAAGCATGACTGGTATTGATGCTAGGCTCTCTAGGGATACAGAATAGTAATATAAATTCTGGACGCTTGCACTGTTTCCTTAGTGTAACAGCAAGAGCATAGTTGGGAGCCCATAGGCAAGATAAGAATCTTACCTTATGGCTTAGCCTGAGGGTAGCCTACTTATAGAAGGGGAAAGTTGTACATGCATCCTAATGCAACACTAATTATGCTCCCACTGCAGCACTTACTAGTACTTCTGACTTTAGGCTGAATACAGTAGTTGATCTCTTTTTTCAGAATTCTCCACTCATTCCGATGGAGTTATTCATTCACACATCTTCTGTGCCACCTTCAACATAAAGCAGACATCAAAAATGATGACCACATGCCTAGCTGAGGTTTGGTGGTTTGGTAGCATTTCCTGTGTTTATAGAGAACAGATGACCAAGAATGCCATGCAACACTAGTTTAGCTTTAAAGAGCATATATTATTTTATTTTATAGATAGGATTGACTTGGGTTTACCAATATGATGTGTAGAGGTCAACATTAAAGTTCATTTCCAGTAAAAAAATATATATTTTCCCTTATCCACCACAATTACTGCTTTCCAATATTGGAGAAGGTACTTTGGATCAAGTAACAGTGGACTTAGGTAAGGCTAAGTTCACACACTACTGCAATGTAATTTTGATTTCTGATATCACTGAGCCTTTGTTGTGACTTGGTTGCATTTTAAATGTGCTTGCATATGCATATTCTAAGGAGCCAATTCATACTGTAAATCACACCAAAGTAGTGCATCAAACTTTTCCAAAATTGTACGGCATCTGAAATCGCACTAGTGTGAACCAGGCCTTAATTTTTTTTTTTTTAAGTAAAGAATGACTAAAAGCAAGTTGGGACTGGAGAGACATTAAGAGTTTTCATTTCCTGGAGCTGGGCTTTACTCAGTCCAGTCCTGGAAAACCTAATACCCTCTCTGGAATTATTAATTAAGTAAAAGAACAACAACTGTAGATTCACATAAATCCTATAATTTGTAGGTGCAAATTTATAATTAGTGTTATTATAACTCTGCATTAATTTTTAAGTGAAGGAAGAATTAGATTAATTTTCGATCATTTTACATTTGAAAATGTTTCTTACTGATTATTGCACTGGATTAGAACATGCAAGCTGCAACAAATTTCCATAAACATAACATTAACATTCAAACAATATCCTAATTTGTTGTCTATGACTGTCTTGGTGCATTCTATACCTGTTAAATAGTCTGAAAACTAATTGAAAATGTCTATTTTTCTACAATGTATTTAATTAGTCATGCTTTCTGGTGCTAAAATTAGGAAAGCCTTTAAAAATGAAGCTGGAGTTAGCTGTATATAAAATAGGGCTTATTCAGTAAGGTAAAGTTGCAGTAATTGCAGTACACCAAGTGGCTGGCTGCTATAAGTTACTCTTTTAACTCTACTAATCAATTTTTCTAGAACTCTCTAAGTGGGGAGTTCTACTCACTTTGTGGAGAAATTTCTTTCAACTTCCTGTTATATCTATGGGACAGGAAATTAGGAAGAACCTCCGCAGTGGGGCATCCACAGCACACAATACACTGACCAGGGTTTCAACCTTTTTCTACTCTATTCAAAAATAAAAGAACATGTTTAAGTTATATACATACACTTTAAGTAAATCCAACAGAGATGGAAGGATTCCTAAGGTTAAGTGCCATAGGAGGTAGAACTAAGAAGAACCTTCCACTAATCTCCACATCACTGCTGTGTCTTGTAGTGAAGTGGAGGTTGGTAGGAGCAACCACTGAGTGCTGAGGGAGATCAAGAAGATCAACATTTCTTGAAATGTTGTTTACCCAGGGGACTTCAGCCAGCATTTTCTCATTAAGTGACCTTGTGGCAGCACAGCAGTAGCAGAGGTAAGTATTTATGTTCTTGTTTTTCAGATATGCCCCTTTAGAATTATGTGTGTTAAGTGTATTTAGTGCTACTCCCATAGGATCTGCAGGAATATTGTCCAGATCTTCCCCAAAAGCTTTTCCCTGCAGCCAGGCACATAGGCTCATTCACACATTTTTTCAATTAATGGTATAGGGGTGTTGTTTTTATTTTTGGAGAACATGGATAGGGTTGAGGGAATTAGGTGGTATAATCCAAAAACAACAAATATGTACAGCTGAGGATTTTAGGTATTCTTCCAGATAAGCCATGACGAAGTCCATACTTGAATCAAGCATTAGTAAGGCAGTAGTAATAGTAGTAGTAGTAGTAGTAGTAGTAGTAGTAGTAGCAAACTAGAAACTAGGTAGCGGATTAAGTGGACAAAGCACTTCTGAACACCAGCCAGTGTCCTCTTTAGCTGGACCTGCAGCTTGACTCCCTAGCACCAGAGGGGTTTAAATAGCACTCAGTCTTTAAGATCCTTTAGAAGTGTCTGTAATCACAAGGCCCAAGAACAGCTGGTTGCCTTCCTCTGTGATACCAGACCAGATCTTCCATAGACAGCCCCTCATTCAGCTTTAGTAGAACCCGGATTTCAGCATTCAGGCCCTCAGGTCACTAACCAAAGGCCAACAGCAGTAGATCCAGCAGCATGCCCTCTCTAGTCTGGAACAATCCTATACAGAAAAGACCCAGAACTCAGTGTGCTCGCTGAATATATACAGCTGCTCAGAATGCCATCAGAGCCTCTCTCTCTGGAATAGGCCAAGATGCCATCTGCATAGCTACACAAGCTTTCTGGATGCAGAGGGAGCTATTAGGCTGGCAGCAGCTGAACATACCGAGCAGACCTAACTAGCAGAACACAGCAACACTGATTACAGGGTACAAGTTATGATTTTTTAAAATTAAATTTATATAAACCTAGCGCCTATCTGAGCGCTTAACAACTGAGAAACCCACACAGGGAGTGCATTGTTTTAATGAGCTTACCTATTGATCTGCATGGCAGGAGTAAGTAACACAGAGTGCAAGGGTCAGTAATAAAGTGACACAGACTTCAGAGGTCACTAGTATGTAATGAAGGGGTCCGAAGTAAGTAATGCCGAGTGCAGAGATCAGTACTGTGCAAAGCACAATGCAGGGGTTCAGAGTAAGTAATGCAGTGCACAGGGATCAGTAGTACTGTAAGTGACAAAAAGTTCACAGGTCACAGACAGCCATCACTCACTTTGGGGTTTTGAATGGACTGTTCTGTGGAACTTTTTCTTTGGAGGACATTGACGGCGCCTGGCGGGTGCTGTGCTGTTTCAAGGACGCTTTATGGTGCGCCAGAAAGCGCCTCACACTCCAGCGGGAGAGGATGTCCATTGAGGACTGCCGCAGACTGATCCTCAGTCTGCTCAGAGACTATTCCTTGATGGACTTTAAGGAGGAAGAGGACGTCTGAAGATTTCCCCCTTCCCCCTACTCCCCCTTGCGTGTCTTTGTCCCTTCAATAAAGCTTCGGGCCTGTGTTTCCCCCTTCCCTCCCCTTCCACCCCCCCCCCCCTCCCCCCACACACCCGATGCCTATTGTTGACAGTGTTTTTCTTTTTCAGTTATCGTTTTCGTGCATGATATAGTGACTAGGAAATGTATATCGTATTAGGATGCTACAGTTTTTGGGGTAAGCGGCGTCATGCATGACGTGGTGATCCGGGGGATTCATCCTCTGTGCACATCACGTCAGGCATCATACCGCTGAGCGAATGTATTTATTGGCCTGAATGTATTTATCGTATGTATGGAACTGTATTGCTATGTGGTGCGCTGCGTCGCAGTACAGGGTGAGATGTACCCCGATTACACGTAACATGTTGTTTTTGATGCTTCTGCAATAAAAGTATCTTTTCAATCAAAAAAAGTTCACAGGTCAATATTTTTAATGCAGAGTGAAGGGATCAGTGGCATGTAATGCATAGTGGAGAGCTCTATAGTATGTAAAGCAGTGTAGAAGACGTTAATTTGTAACACACAGTGCAAAAGTCAGGAGTAAGACACAAGCAAAAATACCCTTTTTCCTATACAAACATCTATTCCCTAAGCTAAAATTGCCCACAAAACATATTCAACCCTCCCTCTGTAAAACTCAGCAAACCTCATATTGAGCGGCACCCAGCAGAGTGAGGAAAGTCCTCCTAGGTCTCCCCTTCAGCTGTGTTATATGACACAATAGAGCCAAGGAGAAGCACAGCACTTGCTTTGGTTCTGCAGTTCCTTTTGCCGTTTGATCTGATGTCTGATGGAGGGGCAGCATTATCACATCATGATCTAATCATCACATGACCATGACCATCTACATGTTCTCAGACCCCAATTTAATGTATGTTTACTTTTGTGCACATACTGTACATTTACCTGTCTAGAAGAGCTGTACAGCTACTTATGCTTGGGATAAAAAAAATATTGCATGGATTTAGAAGCATCCAGCACCATAATGTATATAACATTAGAAAAGAATAACATTTGAATAAAATGTTTTTAAAAGTAAGTTTTATACCTGAAGGTGTCTATTGTATTCAAACTAGTTGCATGGGGCACAGATACGTTTAGCATCCAGACAATCTACATCTTCATTGCGTCATACAGAACAACACTTACTAAACATGTTTTGTATATTCTTTTAAAGCTGTTATGGTTGGTTAAGTTTATTTACATGTCAAACACAGTGCATGTTCATGTTTTGTAGGACTTGATCCAGCTGGCCCTTTATTTGAAGGAATGTCTGGAACCGACCGCTTGTCTCCAGATGATGCAACCCTTGTTGATGCCATCCATACAAACACGCAACAGCATATAGGATTAAGTGTTGGCATTAACCAACCAGTTGGCCACTATGATTTTTATCCAAATGGAGGCAACATACAACCTGGCTGCCAGTTTAAAGACATATACAACCATTTAGTGGAGTATGGTGTCCTTGGTAAGAGACTAAATTTACAATGTTACAATATGTAGTATAGTTACAACAGCACTGCACACCAATCATTTAGATACTTCCCAAATAAACTTGAGAAAAAGTTTTTTTTAATGTTTTGGCTTTATGGGGTTGGATGTCACAATGATGTTTCCCAGCAAATTTTGCATGGTACATAACAGCAGAACCAATTTCAGTAAGCTTCAGCATGTGTTTAATGGATCAAGTCTATTACATCTGGTTTTTCATGATAAAATGTAGCTGATGGAGCCTGTACATAGAGGCCTAATTTAATTGATTCTTTTCTTTTTTCTTTGTCATAAGGATTCTCTGAGTCAGTCAAGTGTGCTCACGAGAGATCAGTCAACTTGTACATAGATTCCATAAAGAATGAAGACAAAAATCCCATGGCATACGAGTGTAAAGATTATGATACCTTTGAGAAGGGCATGTGCCTAAACTGTCAGAAACATGGCTGTGTTTCCATGGGGTATAATCTTACTTCAAAGAAAATGTACCCTGGGCGTAGACTTTTTCTGAAGACACGATCACTAATGCCATACAAAGGTAAGTGGAGCACAAAAACAGATTAATACAACATGAACATCAACCAGTCAGCAGACCATTTCACTCAAAGGGGCCCCTTGTTTGTGAGACTCTACAAAACCTGAATACAGACATAAAATCCTCCATATACTGATATTTATGAAAAAAAAATATTAATTCAAGGAAATATACTTTAATTCCATGTTTTATAACAATACTTTATATGTGATATGTTGTGCAAATGAATAATGTGGATTTGTTAACAACTGATTTGTGGTATTGGTCCTTCTTTGTTACAAACAAATACCAATTTACATAATGCCATACGTTTACTTTTATACTGGAGTTTAGGGAATGTAGAGGGGATGGAATTTTATAGGGATGTACCACAATTTGTGTTCTTTTGTATGATAAATTTGGTTATGGGGAGTGAGAAGCAGTTTTTTAGTTAAGTATAGAGAGATATTTATGTTGTCTTTGGAATTCTGTATTACAGGCACATCATATCACATAGGTTAAGAATTCAGGACAACACAAAGACATAACAGAATAAACATTTATAACCAATAGATCTGGCATATGATTGTTGTACACACCTGCATATATCAAAAATGATCAACTACAAATTCTGTTGTCTTGTCCATCTGGCTCATGGGCTCTCTGTGTGGTGTGCCTATTTTCTCTTTTATTGGGAATTGAACAGAATACATTGGTAGAGATCTAGTATAAAGGGGTCAGGATGGGGAGACAGAAAGGAGACTGGGATTATTAACCACTTACCTACTGGGCACTTCTACCCCCTTCCTGGCCAGGCCAATTTTCAGCTTTCAGCGCTGTTGCACTTTGAATAATAATTGCGCACTCATGTATACAAACAAGATTTTTATAATTTTTTTATACAAATAGAGCTTTCTTTTGCTGGTATTTGATCACAACTGGGGTTTTTATTTTTTTGCTAATCAAACAAAAAAAAGACCAAATATTTAAAAAAAGGTTTTCTGTAAATAAGTGATTTTTCTCCTTCACTTATGAGGCTGCACTGATAAGCACCGATAAGCTACATTGATGGGCATTGATGAGGCTGCACTGATATGCGGTACTGATGGGCACTGATAGGCAGCACTTATGGGCATTAATAGATGGCACCGATGGGCACTGACAGGCATCACTGACAGCCAGCACTGATGGTGACTGCTAACCAGTACTGGTGGGCTCTGACAGCCTGATGATCAGTGTAGATGTCCCCTCTTAGAAATGCCGTTTACAGCTCGTGAGGAGAGGACTGCCGATAACCAGTATTTCCTATTTACACTACATTGGACACAGCACATGGTAAAAGGCCCTTTACCTGGATCCGTAATCAGCTGCATCCAAAGGACACAGCAATCACAGATCGCTCCCGGTGCACACCCCAGGGGCACGTGGGGGGCATGGTTCTGGGAGGACATTCATGGTTGCCCTCCCAGAACTAGCTAACCATGCTGTCGCCATCTTTTTAATTTAGCGCGGTTGGGGACTGGATAATGAAAGGGGATAACCCAGGGTACTTTGTAACAGTGGGGGAAGGAGAGAAGTAGAGGAAAGTTGGAGAGAGTTGGAGTCAGACTGCCCCGCTCCACCCATATTACCGCTTGGCTGGGGTTTCGTAAACAGTGTAGGTTATGCAGAAACTGTCACATATCAATTTCTTGTTTGCTTTGTGAAGAATCATGTTGGCTCTCCTAATCTGTAGTGCAATGGGGATTGGGAGACAATATATTTTTGTATGCCAAGGAGCAGGTGAAATATAACCATGGAAACCATGTGTCATGGAACATCTCCACCTGGTTGCAAAAGGAGACAGTTTTTCCTGTTTAAAAAGAGAAGTATGGCCAAAGCTCCTTTGGCCATACTCTGGTTGTGGGTCATAGGAGTGCACTTAGTTCTTCACCCCTTTGACCCAGTCTGCTGATGTCACAGAGCCCATCCAGGGTCCGAAGGAATTCCGACAATAATGACGGGATCCATCCAGATGCCTGACTTGCAGCTGGCTCAACCTCTCAGCATGCTGCCTAAAGCCTGAGCCAGCCATTCCCAACACTAGAGCACAGTGGTGACTGACTCTGTGCTTAGAGTGAACCTGAGAACTGAGCGATCAGCAGTCTTTGATCTCTCGTTCTCAGTGTAGAGCAAGCAGGGGACAGCTGCAGCATTGGAACAATAATTATTCTATATATCAGTGCCACGCAATTAACAATACCATATGTGAATTTTTTTTAAATTAAAGTTCTAGTTATATGATATACCCATACAGTATATGAGTATTGCACTAGCACTTTAATTTAAAAAAAAATGCACATATGGTATTGTTAATTGCGTGGCACTGATATATAGAATAATTATTGTTTACACATGTGGGAACACATTGAGTGTCAGCAGCAATAATATGTATAGGAAGTATGAGATGTTAATTGCGCTGAAGTCTTTTTGATAATTTTCTAGCATTGGAACAATGCTGCAACCATTTAGGTAGGTATAAATGTTTGTTATTTTCCATTCCTGCACTTCTCTTTTAATTTAGTACATTTTGATAAAGCATAAGTGAGTGGTGGGAGGTGTCATTCTTCCAAACCAGGTAAAAGTCAGCAATTGCCAGTTGCAAAGTTTTTGGGATGGCAGAGGGCAGAAAAATGATCTCACATAGCTTCAAAGGGTATGAAATAATTTTGATTACCAGATACTGAGACTAGAAAGTGCCTACTGAGACAGATAGTCCTCCCTCTCCTCTGTTTCCAGGTGCTTGGCAAGAGCCAGAGAGTGATTTAGGACACTGTGCTGCAGTACTCTCTGTGCTCCCAATGGACTTCAGCTGAATCGGTTAACACAACCTCTCCTCCATCTACCAGGGGGAGCTGACAAGCATATGGAGCTCAAGAGGCTTGATGGTTGGCAGCACTGAATCATGGAAGATGAAGTTCGGAAAGAAACTTTGCTATGGCAGTCTATGGACCATTGAGCTAATTCCAATGTGAGCCGGGTATAAGGAGAGAGTTGTACTATTTCAGGCTGAATACGGAGGAACTCTTTTTTTGCTGAGAGAAGACTGAGGTGTGCACATATCTGCTCCTGTGTGCACATCAATCTTCCTGTGGCCCTGTGCTGATTACCGGAGTCATTCCAGGCAGATCCAGAAGTGAACTGATAACTGAACAGCATTACTCCTATTGCTGTATCATTGGAACTGGAGAGGACACTGCTGCCATTAACCTGTTTAGTGTTTCCTCACAAAAGGCTGCTATAAGATGCCATACTTCTTTCATATCCCCATAGTGCATAAAAATGTCATCTGTCCACAGGGGCATCCCATCATCACAAGTATGGAAAGTCTTACTAGTAAAATCTTGCAATATGTGGATCACTTCCTCCAGCCAATTGTGACAGTCCTCCCTGCATTAGTTTCATCACATGTTTTAGAACTCTTAGAACAGTACAAATGGTCATCAAGCTATGCTTGGTTTTCCTTGGACGTGTGTTCATTATACAGGTCCATCCCTCATGAGGCAGGCATAGAAACCTGAATCACTTCCTTTCAGCTATAGATTATTTACATCCCCAGCAGGCTCAAATTATCACTGTACGTGGTTTGCATTGGAATGCAACTATTTCCAATTCTTAGACACATACTACATACAGAAATCCAGAACAGAGATGGAAGCTCATTTTGCGCCATGTTATTCAAACCTATTGATGAGTTTTTGGGAGGAGAACGATATCTGGAGTGCCAATCCCTTTAGTAAGCATATCATATACTATGGACGTTACATCTGTGATATTATCATCATTTGGTACGGTCTTCCAGATACAATCAATAAGTTTGTCGAGTACTGCAACTAAAACCCATATAATATCCAGTTTATATATATTACTGACTAAAAGTCTGGTCTTTTTGGATTTAGTGGTATCATGGGATGTGGATGGAAATACTGTATCTAAAGCACATTATAAGGCTGGTAACTGATAAACACTACAAGAGTTTCCATCTAGCCAGCTGGAAACAAAATATACTCTATAGTCAATTTAACAGACTAAGGAAAGATTATACAAGTACAACAGATTATTTGTATCAGTGAAAAGTGGAAAAGTTTTCAGTGAAGGGCTATAACAGTGTTCATATTCAGTCTGCCCTTGATATGTATAAGAACAAACCCGTTACTTAAAAAGTAGCAAGTACATTAAGAGATTTCTTGGCTAAATGTATTACAAGGTATAATAATCAATATTGGGCAATAAAGAATACTCTTGGGAAACACTGGCCCAATTTATTTCATAGTCCTGCCCTTGCCAATATTCCCCTAAAAAAAACAAATGCTGCTTTTAGGAGGGCTGTGAATGTTAGAAATCGCATAGCACCCAGTAAGACGAAGATGTCACAGCTAAAGATCGGTAATATTCCTTAAGTTTTTGATATCATGGTACTTATAAGTGTAAGAAACCAAAGTGTAAAGCTTGTCCTTTTTTAAAAAAATGGCCAAAAAAGAATTTACAGGTAAAAATGGAAGGGTTTACAAGATCAACCAGTTCATCACATTTGTTGCGCAATTTGTTGTGTATGGCCTAAGGTTCCCATGCAGGTAGTTTTTTGTGGGCTGGCTTATATGTAAAATGCAGAAAAAAATCAATGAACTTAATAGCTTCATTGGAGAGGGCTGAACCAAGCACAGCATGCCTCAACATTTTAGTAATTATCATAATGAGGACACTGGAGGACTTGAACTACTGTAGTATAAAGGAAACCTCTATGCATTTACCAGAAAGTGAAAGGTTTTCCAATTTACGCCAAAGGGAGACCTATTGGATTTTTACATCAGATACCATGAGCCCAGGGGGGCTTAATGAGGAATTGAAGGTTAGCACCATCATTTAGTCCATGGTACAATAAATGGCCACTGCCCCAGTCTATAACTGGCCTTCACAGCAAGGAGCGCAAGGAAGGGTGACGCATGTCAAACAACAAAAAAGAAAAATTTCCAGCTCTAACTTGCCAACCACTTGACACTGAGTTTCTATA